GACACTCGTTTCTGTTGCCAGGACAGTTCCTGCAGGTGTACAAGAAGTGGGAGGTGCGCGACGTTACTTGCTGCAGCGACCTTCACTTGATTGCAATTTCGAGATATCGTAGACGCTGTGATCTAGGCAATACTACGCGATGCTCGCGATAGCTGGTGGCGCTGGTTAGCTGGTGGCGCGATAGCTGGTGGCGCGATAATGGTGGCGCTGATTGATGCTCTCAAGTTTATTCGAACATATATGCCCCATATTGTACAATGATTTGATTAGTTAAAGTCATCAGGAACAAGCGAAAAGGCAGGAGCCTAGGTTACGTGGACACAGGTTTTCCGAAACTGTGTTCTAGCATAGGAGCCTAGCCACGCGCACCTCGAGCACACGAGGTCATCGGTTTTGCATGGCTTGTCCTCGAAGGCAGCTTCTACAACCTTTTCTAATGCAATCGAGTGAAGTTCGCTGCAGCAGGCAGCTTCACGCACCACCCGCGTGTGGTATGCCGGTGGGAAGTGTCCTGGCAACGCAAGCGAGTGACGATAGCACAATCTCTGCTACTGACACTATCTTCGTTGTTGTCACTTTGGAAATATGGGACCAGCTCCGTCCGGTTTCTATGCACCGCACCAGTGTGTTGACCCGAAAAGATCGAGGCTCATCGGCTGGGGCTTGTACTGTCCCTTTGCTCTTGAGGTCTGTCACCCACAAAGCATCTCCTTAAAGAAGTTACAGCAAGTCGCCGACTCTGTATTGTCTGTCGAAGTCTTTTCTTTGCCATTGTCTGCATCTTTCCTCAAAATTCCGAGGGCTGTCTTGATCTGGCAGTTGGGGTGTCAGCTTCGTAAAACACAGAGGAAGCCTGGATCTCAGCCGATGAGCCATGGGCAAATCGTCAGGGCTATATCTATTCTTCAAAGGAGTTGACCTGTAATCTAGAAGTGTCAGGTAAGGATCCTTGGTCTTCGTCATGGATGTCTTGATGATTTTCACGGCAGCCTCTGCAAGTCCCTCTGAGGATAGTAAGGGTTATATGTAATGTGCTTGAAACCATCGCGAAGAGTGAAAACTCAGTCGAAGAGAACTGCGGGCTATTGTCAGAAACCACTTCCGCAGAAATTCCGTGGCGTACAAAAATTGACTTAGAGTGGTTGATTACGGCTGCGGAAGTAAGCTTATCAGGTCGAACCAGTTCGAGAAATCTTGAATATTAGTCGGTAGCTGTCAACCACCACTTGTTCTTGAATTGAAACAAATCTATCGCAATGCGTTGCCAAGGCTTCTCAGGAAATTCGGAGCTTCTTAGTGGCATTTTTCTGTTTACTCTTGTTTCGATGACTTACTGGCATTGCTTCATTAGAGAAGAGACGTCAGTTCTTATGGTGGGCTACCAGACACAGTCCCTGGCTTGAGCCAATGTCTTTGTTATGCCAGAGTGTTCTCCGTGCAAGAGTCGTAGGATATCTTTTTGACATGAGTCGTAGACGACAACTCGCGATGCGTAGAGGAGTAAGTCATTCTCGACAGTGAGATAGTGTCGGCGATCGTGGAATAATTTTAGGTCAAGTCCCAAGTCTCTCCTAGAGGGCCATTCTTTCTCGCACAGCAGACGACGTTGTGTGCCAATAGGGTCTGCTTGTTGGGACGCCTTTAATCATTGCAAACAACGGTACTTTATAAAGTTAGAGCTTGTCATAGAGCACAGGAAATCTTCAACGCTTTCTTTGAGCTCACTCTCTCTCGTCTCTCGCAGAGGTGCTCTCGAAAGTGCATCTGCGACTGCAAGTTGCTTGCCTGGTACATATGCAATAGCCAATCGATATCATATCATTCTCCTCTTTAGCCGCTGTAATCTAGGTGTCAAGTAGTCAAGACTCTTCGAAGTGAAGATTAGAACCAACAGCCCAAGATCCATCACTAGCTTGAACAGCTTACCAACAAGGTAATCACAAAATTTATCGCATGCCCAGACCAAAACAAAGGCCTCCTTTTCAATCTGGGTGTAGCCCTTCTCGGTTTCTGAGAGTAACCACGAGGCTTAAGCGATGACAGAAAACTTGTAAGTGGCTTGCTTCTGCTGGAATAATGCTCCCAGTCTAGATGATGATGCTCAGTGGTGACGACTGTTTCTTTTGATGGGTCGTAGACTCCAAAGACAAGACAAGATGAGACCACTAACTTCCACCTGTTGAATGCCTGCTCTTGTGGAGAACCCAAAACAAATTCTTGCTTTTTGACAACAGGAGTGCGAGTGGCTGCAGAATATCAGAGAGACTAGGAACGAATCTCGCGAGGTATGTTGCATTCCGAGAACTCTCTGCAGCGTGGTCCTGTTTTGGAGACTCTGCATTTTTATTATGGCTTCAATATTCTTTTTGTCAAGTCCTACTCTGTCTTCATCGAGCCAGTGTCCTAGAATGTAAGGCGCTGAACATTAAACGCTTACTCGCTGTCATTCAGTGTCACTCCAGCCTTTGCAAGCGCCTGCAGCACGTTTCAGAGTGTCTCATTGTGAACTTGGCTCGTAGAAACCCAGATGAAGATGTCATCTATGTGACAGACTACTCGACTGATGCCTTGTAGTATGTAGGCCATCTGCTTCTGGAAGTGTTCAGGAGCTGACGCAATGCCAAAAGGTAGTCGGTTGAAGCATAAGCGCCCAAATGATGAGATGAAGGTGGTGAGTATTCTTGATTCTTCACAAAGTGGAATGTGCCAAAGGCGAGAGTTGGCATCGAGTTTGGAGAACACCTTCGCTTCATCAAAAAGTCCGAGAGTGTGCTGCACGGAAGGAATAGAATTCCATTTTCAGAGAACGTGGTGGTTCAGCTCTGTAGTTTCGACGCATATTCTCACGTCTCCAGAGGAATTACGGATGACTACCATTGGTGCACACCACTCGGTCGGCTCACCAACAGGTGATATGACACCAAGTTTTTGCATCCTTCGAAATTCTAACTTTGTTTTCTCGTACAATGGAACTGGGATGTGCCTCGAGGAGCCCAGTGGGAAAGGTTTTCCTCCTGGTTGAAGCTGAATCCCGTGTTCTTTGAACAGCTTGACAAGTCCTTGGAACACCGTTGGAAATTCTTTCGGGTTCACTTAGTCGGCAAAGGCGTTTACGAAGGTCAGCTTCTTTAGCTTTTTGATGCCTGGCTTGCCTAGCCACAGAGTGCAGATCTTATCTAAGACATATATATCCAGAATAATCACGTGGTTGCGGTTGATGAGCTGGAGTTGAGCGACTCCTGCTGCTGGAAGAAGATTTCTATCTGGGCCATGCAGCTGACGAGAAGGAGCTCATAGAAGCGGTCTGTCCTTGAGCATCTGGAATATGTTCATCGGGGAGACGGTTTTGTCGGCATGAGTGTCAATTTTGAAGTATACTGGCTGGTCTTAAACCAAGACTGTTGCTTCCCAGTATCCAGTATCCATCGCCTTGAATGCTTCAAGAAACTCTACTTCTAAAGTTCCGCGCTTGATTTTGACACAATCGAGGCGTCGCGACATGCATACGGAGGCATGGGGACCTTTCTTCCGACAATTCCTGCAGACTTTCAAGCGTGCATGGCAGAGAGTGCAAGAGTGACACTCTTGACCACGCCAACGGCACGGTTTCTGCTCTCTGTTTTTACCGGAGGGGGAAGATGGCTTGCTGGCCCCGTGTAGATGACTGTCGCTGTTGTCTTGCCTTGAAGCACGTTGACTGATATGCGGAAGAAGACTGGTCTGCACCAGATGAAACTTTGTTCAAAGATGACAGTTCCTGATGGAGCTCCACCAGTTGCTGACAGACACTTTCGATCTGGCGAATGAAATCCTGAGCCTTTTGTAGTGTGAGCTCTGCGTCGAGCTGTAACCTGGCAGATAGCTGCATGTCTTTTTTCCCAACCACGAGGCGGTCTCGCACGAACTCCTCTCGAAGAGCGCTGAACTCACAATCTTTCGAAAGCATGTGAAGCGCAGTGACAAAGTCTTCAGCCGACGCAACATCTTGTTGCAGCCTGGTGTTGAATCTGGCTCGTTCGAAGACTATGTTGCGCAGCGAAATCAAATACTTGTCGAATTGCTCCACGACAGCGTCAAATTTTTCGGAGCATTTTTCTGATAAAGCGAAGGTGGCGTAGATTCCCCAGGCTTGCTCACTTATGATGTAGAGTAGGGCGTCTACTTGATGTTGCTCGGGCTTGACGCACAAGCCTGAAGAGGTTCGGAAACGTTGAAAACGCTGTTTCCACTTCGGCCACTCGTTCGGCGACGAAAAGTTAAAGGCGTCCGGCGGTTGAATAATCAATGACGCCATGACCAGTACTATTTTGCTTGCGGCGTCCTTCGTTAGGATAATAGCTAGAAGCCGATCACTGATAGCAACTGTTCTTCTGACACCATGTTGAAGTCATCAGTGACGAGCGAGAAGTCAGGAGGCTGCTTTACGTGGACAGAGGTTTTCCGGAAGCGCGTTCTAGCCTAGGAGTCCAGCCACGCGTCACGTGCACCTCGAGCACACGCGGCGACCAGCTTCGCCTGGATTGTCCTCGATGGCAGCATCTAAAACGCAAATCGGCAGTCGTCATGGTGGGTGAGATGGCAAAGCATAGAACGCTTTATACGAAGGTAGCAGATGCCATTCGTGCTCGCGGCAAGCTATCTTTCCGCCCACATTTAGATCTTTATATTATATAAAATACTAATAACAATCACAACACATGCTTTTACATTTGTTTCCACACATATTACTATTGTGTTTGTGAAAATTCAGTTTTTACACTTTCCAATGTTTTCATACATGAGCCAGCCATGAAATGCGCCAGCACAAACAACTTTGAAAGATGGCATACTACTGAGATTTACGTAAAAAACCAGTCCGATAATGAAAATAGCGGTGGTTTAAGGCAACACTATGAATATCGAGAGAACATTTTGATAGATGCATTACAATTAGGTTGGTTGATGACAAAGGGTCCTTTTGCGAGTTATTTTAGCATTGATTATATACATATTTTTTCCAGGTATGCTTGCGGTATTTGGACATGATGAACCCAAAGATAACATTCCTCCTTGTTGGCGTGACAAGGGCTAAAGTAAGAATACTTTGTACATAGTTTATATTTATAGCAATATAATTAATGGCACCGTACGAGCTATGTTTATAAAGGTTTCATTCCTGTGACACAAATCTTGTATGCGCTTTTTTGGTTTCACCCAGGGCACTTTTCCACTTTTTGTGAAAAAAATCAATTTTTGAACTGCTTGCTTATTTCTGCACCTCACGTGAACGCTTGAACTCGAACGTATTCTGCAGGTCTGATTACGGAAATACACTCTATTGTCACATATTGTCAATGCTTCAGTTTTTTGTAGCGGACACAAGCCTTACTTTAAGGACACTTCGTTTGGCCTGTGGCTCATATACTTTAAATAAAGGTAAAGGAACATTTGTGGGTTTATGTTTGCTGTAGTAGGTTCGTATAGGCAGAACTTGTAGAACTTTTCGATCATTGCATAAGCTCGAAGATTTTCGTTGTGGGTTCAGAAGAAGTTTCATGACACAGACTTTCTACAACGTCCATCTCATGTGTGAGTAAATATTCAGCCCTAAAAAAATCACTTCTCTACTCTGAGAAATGGGAAGATTGATTCTGCCACTCACCAGCATTAATCATTCTACGTGAAGCTCGTCTACTATTTTTCTTGCTTCATTTCAACACAGGACCACGACTTTGGTCGAAATAACGGGGGTGAAATTGATGCTGCAGAGATGCTGCGTGGACTAGGACAATACCGGAATCAAGGAAGGATACCAGGAAATTTCGACGTGGTGTTCCTTTTGACAGCGTAAGTATGAAGTGGTTCGGGGTTTTCTGACTCGTTGGCTTTTATCAGTAAAGGAAAATATGCAGCTTTCTAAAGCGTAACATCTCTATTGACTAAAGGTAGGAACTTAGTTGTAATTATTGGCAGTAGCTGGGTACATACGTGAGCCTAAAGAGACTTAACTTTTATTCCAGGCTTGATATGATCAGATTTTCCAAAGGTAAAAAGATTAAAGGAATTGCAGGTATGTATTTTATATTCAAAGAAAATAGTGTATAATTATTAGGTTATTATTTATACAAGTCTTGGAAGCAGTATTTGCGCAAGCTTGTACATGAAACGCACACTCAACCAAAGTGAAAAAATGATAAATAACGAAAGTATAACAAATCTACTCGAAACAGATAACAATGTGGAGAAACCACGCTTTGGCGTTTAAAGGCGTCAAATTAAATAAACGCGAAACCGAGGATCCATGGTAAAAGAGCGTGTTCTATCTTTTTTTTGACGGTCTCCTTTTCTTCGTTCTCAGTCCTTCGATGTGCGTGCTATTCGCGCAAGACGTTCAAACAATTTACAAGAAACTTTTTCGATAGAAGTGTTAATTTCACAATTTTTGTTTGTTTTAGCAGTACATTGTATGTATTCAGCACCGTCTGTACTAAGTCATTTAGCGTCCCAGCGATCATGTAAACGCGGTTGTCTTCATGGAAGCATAGTCCACCCTTGTAATTTATTGTTTATTATACTTGCGATGCAACTACACTTTTAGATGCCTATACAATTCATTCGTTATGTTATGGTTACTAGCATAATTTTCCTAATGAGCTTATTAGAAATATGCGTTCTGCTTGAATTGTTGAGCGAACGGTCATGAGCAATTGAATTATTGCACACATTGAAAAACTGTTTGTCTCTTTTTTTTTCAGCACATAAATGTAATTTCTTGTTTAAAACGACTAGTCCTAAATTGAAATCGATTAGATGCCACAGGTTCTTTGAGTCACTTGGTGTAGTTCTCGATTTCGCAATGAAGTAAATCACCTAGCTTACGTCGAAAAAATTTTGTATTAGTCGATCGAATGATCTCGGTATGTCAGTATGATTTTATTTCTCACCTGAACCAACCATCTGTCATGCTGTATTATATAACTTCGTGCCAGAACAAATTGCAAAAAACACAACGGTCAAATGAACAATTTACCATGCTGTAATAAAGAGTCTCACACCAGATAACACTAAGAATTACAAAACGGTCTCACCATTCACCGATCGGGCGCATCACCTCTTTCTCCATCGATCATGACACCTCCTTCTGTCGGGAAAACTGAAGTCATAAACGCACACTGTCGAGCAGTTTTGCTCTAAAACATTGCTCAATATTATGCTCGCGGGCCAGTACGACTGTCTCCGTCGAAACCGTGTGGCCGTATTTGTCGCCAAAGAAGCCAACTAACTGGCCGTCGCCTGTGCAGATGTCACTCAATACGCCACACAGATATGGCTCACTGAAGTTTTCATTGTCCTTTTCGTGTCGTGCTCAGCAAAGTCTCTGGAACTGGAAGTCATTACGAGCACTATACGGTATGCCGTACGGTGCCGGCATATCGTATGGCCAACCCGCCATCCATATTTTTCACCGCCAAGCAATGAAGAATGTGACGGCCTCCTCACTAGCACTGAGGAAAACATATAGACATGACACGTAGTGTGTGTGTGTGTGTGTGTGTGTGTGTGTGTGTGTGTGTATGTGTGTGTGTGTGTGTGTGTGTGTGTTTGTGTGTTTGTGTGAGCGAGCGAGAGAGTTTGTTTTTTTGTGCGCTGAGTGGAGCACACGTTTCACTCAGCGCATGTAGTCCTCGTTCTTCTCCAAAATATTAACCACAGTTTTGTAAATGAATCTTTTTGTCGAACTTTTTCAGGACGTGCGAAAATGAGCACTGTCTGTACAGAAAGAGGATTGGGGGAAGGTGAAGATACACCTCACGCCTACAGCGGTGTAAATACCTTTGCGCATGAGCTTGCCCATACGTAAGTGTAATTTCAGTCTTCATTATTTTAGATGCGTTGTGTGTCTGCAGTGTCACAGCTCATATTTTGCAGGCTCGGGTCAGATCATGATGAAACCCCCCAGTGTCCTTGGGAAGATGGCTACCTAATGAGTTACGTAGATGGAGGATTGAGAAAGTACAAGCTCTCCCAATGTAGCCAGAACAGCATTAGGCAGTATGTCGGGTAAGGAAAACAGTATCTATATTTTTCATCATTGATATTGTGTCATACACGAGGAATTCACCAACCTGTGTAGTAACTGCTTCATCAGAAGCCCATGAAAGAGGTAGTAGACATACTTAACCCACCAGAAAACCTACTGGATATAAGACAATACAGATGTTGATATATTGTCACAATGCAGAATCAGCAGCAGTCGAATCCAGGGAAATCACTTTAATTGTACCAGAACACTGGCAAACTGATCGGAAGAGAACCTCGTCTTCTTCTCTCGCTGCGCGTGTTCTTCGTTGTTCTCTTCGTGCTGCATATTCAATGTGGCATTTGCCCCCCTCCAGAGAGCAGCGTCCCGATGATCTTCTACAAAAGACGGTGTAAATCAGTCCGAAAAGTAGGGCTTCATTCGCACAACGTACACGATTTCTGGTTTTTGCTGGCGAGTTGTCGAGGGGCTGTCAGGAACGACCACGTGATTAACGTCGCTCAGGCGTTGTAAAACTGTGTAGGGGCCACGATACTTCTTCAGCAATTTTTCAGACAGTCGCCGGCGGCGGATAGGACTCCACACCCAGACTTTGTCACCGGCCCGATAGACGACATGTCGGTGGCGCAGATTATAACGTTGGGCGTCGTAATTTTGCTGCTGGGTGATTCGGACGCGCGCAAGCTGCCTCGCTTCTTCTGCTCGTTAGATAAAAGATGCAGCGTCCAAATCGATGTCATTGCAGTCGTGCAGTAACATGGCGTCAAGCATCGTCGTCACTTCACGGCCATGAAGGGGACTGAACGGCGTTCTTCGAGTAGTTCCTTGCTGCACTGTATTATTGGCGAACGTGATGTACGGTAGAATGTCGTCCCAGTTTTTGTAATCCACGTCAACGTACATACTCAACATGTCGGCAATAGTCTTGTTGAGGCGTTCTGTTAAGCCGTTGGTTTGTGGATGATAGGAAGTGGTTTTCCGATGGGCTGTTCCACTGAGCTCAAGCACTGTCTTCAGGAGCGCGGCCGTGAAAGCGGCACCTCGATCCGTTATTATGATTGTTGGAGCACCGTGCCTCAGGACGATATTTTCTACGAAGAATCGTGCGGTTTCAACGGCGGTGCCACTTGACAAAGCCTTTGTTTCGGCATAGCGCGTAAGATAATCAGTGGCGACTATTACCCGCTTGTTGCCAGCATGGGAAGTCGGATATGGTCCAAGGATATCCATTCCAATTTGGACAAAAGGTACCGTGGGCACTTGACTTGGTTGTAATAGCCCAGCTGGTTTTAACGGTGGCCATTTTCGTCGTTTTCAATCGAGGCACGTGCGCACGTAATGCTTCACAATAGCAGGAAGTCTTGGCCAGTAGTATTTTTTTTTTGCATTCTGGCCAATGTGCGTGTGTATCCGAGATGACCAGACGTTGGCTCATCGTGGCAAGCACAAAGTATCTCGTCACGAAGTGACGTCGGAACGACAAGTAGGTGAGTGATTCCTCTGGGAGAAAAGTTCTTCTTATAAAGAACACCACTACGTAAGCAGAATGACGACAGGCTCTTTGCAAACCTTCTAGGGACGGTTGTTGTCCGGCCATTCAAAATTTCAATAAGAGGAAGCAACTCACTGTCTTCTTTCTGCTTGCACGAAATCGTAGTGGTGTCAACGACTCCTACAAGCGACACGCTGTCATCTTCTGTGTCATCGTCGTGCTTTATCGGTGACCTTGATAAGCAATCGGCGTCGGCGTGCTGCCATCCGGACTTATACACGACCGTCATATCAAACTCTTGGAGGCGTAAGCTCCACCGTGCGAGCCGACCAGACGGGTCTTTCAAGTTGGTCAGCCAGCAGAGGGAATGATGGTCGCTGACTACGCCGAAAGAACGACAATAGAGGTACGGGCGAAACTTCAGAACTGCCCATACGACAGCAAGACACTCTTTTTCCGTTGTGGAGTAGTTGGACTCGGCGCCTGAAAGCGTCCTACTAGCATATGCGATCACACGCTCGGCTGAGTCTTGCCTCTGGACGAGTACAGCGCCTAAACCCACGTTGCTGGCATCTGTATAGACCATGGTAGGAGCATCCTCATCAAAGTGAGCAAGCACAGGCGGAGTCTGCAGGCGTTGTCGGAGATCGTCAAATGCCACCTGTTGATCGTCGCCCCAAGTGAACGACACGTGTTCTCATGTGAGTCGTGTTAACGGCGAGGCCATGTGGGAGAAATTGGCAATAAACCTTCGGTAGTATGCGCATAGGCCAAGGAAACGCCTGACTGCTTTCTTGTCTTTTGGTACCGGAAATTTTCTGACAGCCGCAATTTTATCGGGACCAGGTCAAACACCTTTATGGCTCACCACATGGCCTAAAAATTGAAACTCCTTGAAACCGAAATGACACTTCTCGGGTTTCAGTGTCAGGCCGGCAGACCTTATTGCCCTGAATACCGATAGCAGCCTGCTCAGGTGTTCCTCAAATGTTTTTGAAGAAACAATGACGTCGTCCAGATAGACCAGACATGTTTGCCACTTAAGGCCTGACAGAACAGTATCCATCAGTCTCTGAAATGTTGCAGGGGCTGAGCACAATCCGAATGGTAAGAATTAAGAATTTAAATTCATAAAGCCCGTCAGGCGTAACAAAAGCCGTTTTTTCTCTATCTCGCTCGTCGACCTCAATTTGCCAATACCCACTTTTGAGGTCCATTGACGAAACGTAGCGTGCATACCTCAGCCTGTCGAGTGAATCATCGATGCGCGGTAATGGATATACGACTTTCTTTGTCACACGGTTCAGCTTGCGGTAGTCAACACAAAATCACAAGCTCCGTCTTTCTTTTTAAACAGCACTACCGCCGATGCCCAAGGACTTCTTGACGGCTGGATGACGTCATCATCGAGCATTTTCTTCACTTGTTCTTGGATTGCTTCACGCTCTTTCGGTGCTACGCGATATGGGTTCTGTCGTATTGGCCTTGCCGTCTCCTCCGTTATTATCCGATGCTTCGTCAGTGGCGTTTGACTGACCCTCGAGGTCGATGAAAAACAGTCTTTGAACTGGTGAAGGAGATCTACTAGCCGCTGTCTCTGCGCTGGTGACAAATCCGAGCTTACGTGAATAGGTGGTGGGGCTGACGTGGATTGTGGCTCGTCCTGTTGTACTACACAGCACTCGCGGATTTTGGTGATCTCGTCGAAGTAGGCAACTGTAGTGCCTTGTGTAATGTGTCGTCGCTCGTTGGTAAAATTCGTCAACAGAACCTCTGCTTCACCGCACACAACGTTGACGATACTTCTGGCAATTGCAACACCGCGAGAGAGTAGGAGCGTCAATACTTGTTCAGCGATTCCTTCTCCAGTATTCTGCTCGCTGCACGTGACTGAAACAAGGCGGCACGATAATGGAGGTACGGTCACATCGTCAATGACTCGTAGGTATTTTCGGTGTAGCGCTGCGCTATGATCCACTGAAAAGGTCAGTACACCGTCCGGAATATTGATGGTGGCACCATATTCACGCAAGAAATCCATCCCCAAGATTGCCTGTTTGCAACACTCAGAAAGGATAACAAAAGTTGCGACGAAGGATGCATCCCCTATCTTCATTCTTGCGGTGCACTTTCCGGTAGGTGTGAGTAGCTGCCCTCCAGCTCCTCTAATCTGCGGTCCTGTCCATTCCATTCTAACCTTCCTGAGCGTGTCTGCCAGACTCTCACTCATTATTGAGAAGTCCGCGCCAGTGTCGACCAATGTCATGACGTCATGTCCGTCAATCGTAATTGCAACTTCGGCAGTAACAACACCATCTTTCGTCGATTCATTGAAAATGTGTCTCTCTTCGCTCAGCAGTAATGGGCGATTTTCAGCACATAGACGATTCGCAACCTTCTCCCCTGAGGTGACTGCTTTTAGTTTCCCCGGCGTGGACTAGGAGATCTCCCTCTTGGCATGTCAGTGGTGCTCCTTCTAGAGGATGGAGAATAACGCCTAGGAGAGGGTGAGCGTGACCGAAACCCAGGAGGAATATCCCGCGGGGTCATGACACTCGTGTCGACGTCAGGTGTTCCGTTGAAATGGCGCCGAGGAACCGTAGAAGGAAACCCTTGGTACCCTGCGGCGCGATACGGGCAATACCGAACGATGTGGCCTGCTTCGCCACAGTGAAAGCACAGGGGCCTAAGATCAGGGGTACGCCAGATGTCAGTTTTGCGAAGTGGTGGCCGCCTCGGCATCGAAGATTCTCTGTAGTACAAAGGCGCTGTCGGCGGATGTTGCTGAAGACGAGGTTCTCTTCCGATCAGTGTGCCAGTGTTCTGGTACAATTAAAGTGAGTTCCCTGGATTCGACTGCTGCTGATTCTGCATTGTGACAATATTAGAGCACTGTGAGTAGCAGGTACACTGTAACGAGGGCAATGGACACGGCACTAGAGTGGAGAAGGAAGAAGGCGCTCTGTGATCGCAGGCTTACATTCAGTTTAAAGACAGGCTCTCAATCAGTGTATGACATATAGGCCATCACAAGCTTTCTTGGCCAATCCCTCAGAGTGGGTATGTGACAATGCTCACTGGCAACAAAGTTATCTCTTGCACTAAATAATTCTCTCGTTTACCGAGTAAGCTCCTGCTTGTAGAACACCCGTTTCAAGTGGTTGGCGTGCTGGGTACATCTGATCCTCACCCTGAAACTACTGGAACTTCGCAGCCGCTTTTACTCCAAGTGAGACCGTCTAAGGGCGCCACTGCAGATCCCGCACCCGTACCTGTCTTCTTCGCTGGTGCTCTCTGGCAGTACAACTACCCTATACTTGTTGTCAGAGACGACAAAAATGGGAACAACTGGATTGCCGAGTACGAACTACTGATCGCTTACAATAAGTGAAACGCAGTCGATAAGCTCACAAATGTTAACTTGTACCTGACCGACGTGGCGAAACTACGGTACTGGAATCATCAAATTGATTTCAATACCTGGTCGGAATTGGCTAAAACCCTCTCGGAAGTCTTTGGCCATCCTGT